CCAGCCAAATAAACTCCGTGACAGAGGGCTGAGGTGTTTATTAGGCCAGTGTCGGATGGGCTTGAGTTAACAGGAAACACCCACTCTCACAGAAATGTCTGATGATTAAATATTTGGGGGACAGGGGACACCAGGGGTCAAAAACACTGCAGAAATTGCTTTCTTCTTCCGCCTGTCAGTTCAGTGAGAAAACAGAGCAGCCATGATAAATATGGCCAACCAGTCCAGGCCTAAAAACGCCCCACAGCTGGGCTATTCACCGGCGGCACAGCCCAGGATGCAGAAAGAAGGGAAGTGCAGATGAAAAAAGCCAGGAGCATCCCTCACAATGCATCTAAACCTCAGGGTGCCATGGGGTGGAGGGGTGGAAAAGGTTGATGTGCATTTGTCACTGAAAAGCCCCTGACTTCTGCCTGGCTACTCTGCTTTAATAAGCAAGGTATTCTCATATCAGCTCAGTCAATAAAGCCTGACCTAAATATTTAGGGAGAGCCTCTTAAGGGAGAGCCTCTAGCCCAACACTATTACTTCATCAGTGGAGAGTTTGCCACCCAGGAGACACTTGGCAATATCTGAAGACATTGTTGGTTGTCATAACTAGGGAGGTGTTACTAGTATCTCGTGGGTAGAGGCCAGGGATGCTATTAAACATCCTACAATGCTTGGGACAGCATCCCTGACCAACACAAAAAGGAAATATCCAGTCTGAAATGTCGGTAGTGCCAAGGTCTAGCCCAGTGCTTTTCCATAAACCAAGAAACAGAGACTCAGAGGAGTAAAGTGATTTGCTCTAAGCCATCCCACTGGAAAAACTGGAGAGGGAAAGAAAGTCAGCATGCCCACCTCCCTTGTAAATGCCTTTTAAAGTCACACAGATGTTTAATTTTTTAAAAATAAGTATACATCCTCAAAGAGTTGCAAACAAGTTCCCTGGCTTAAACTCACACAAGTGCTTTTAGAATGTTTCCTACTCTTAGAAATTAACTGTTTCCAAGATTTCTTAGAAAACGGTGCTAAAGGGTTAAGAATGAACAGGTCTTCGTAAAGGCTTCAAACTCTCCCTCTGATGTGGGCCAGCTTGACCAGTGACTAGCGTTCTCGGCACTGGTTTCCCTAGTCCCTCTTCTAGACTTGTGGTAAACCAAAGCATACAGAAAGTACAGGACACAGAGAAAGCAACCACTCTACCCCAGGCCCTCAACCTTATCGCAAGGGAGGGACTTACCAAAAATAAGCAATGACCAAGGGGGAAAAAAAAATCTCCAAACTATAGTTATGTTCACCAGTAGAATTTTTCTGTTCCTCCAGGCCAAGGTCCATTTTTACTCATCCTTGGGCTTCGGTTGGCTTTATTTTTAAGAATCTAAAAGATGTGGGGGAAGGCTGAGGCGGAAGGATCGCCGGAGCCCAGCAGGTCGAGGCTGCGGTGGCCGGGAGCGGCCACTGCACTCCAGTCTGGGCGACAGAGTGAGACTCCAACTCAAAAAAAAAAAAAAATGTGGGAAGAAAAATAGACTGTGTCTGGAGTACCTGAGATCTTCTAACTATAGCCAGGCCCCGTTCATGTTCCCAGAGATTAAAATTATGAACTCATCAAGGCTGTCCTCTATCTATACACCCTAACTGGTCCCATAGTTGGAATGAAGGGTCTTACCCAAGGATGGGGTGAACACTCCTTCCTTCAGACACAGGATAATAAAGGAAGTGAGTTCTTACTAGATTCCTCACCCACTCTTCCTTAGGAGGAGGGCAAGACAAAGACAATGCTTACCAAGATTTTTTTCTTCTCACCAGTAATATAGGATCTCTGCTCTTATCCAGCCCTAGTAAGTCCAAAGACCAGGAAGTGCCCAGGTGTAGTCAGGAGGAGGCGTCAGACTAAAGGGAAACCGCGGATGAGAAAAGACCCAATGTACACACATAACAAAACCAAAAAAGCCATTTTATTGAAAATTCAATTCAAACTTCAAATTAATATTACAATCATGAGAAAAATGCCAAATAATTCAATTTACAGTTGCAACATACAATACAAATAGTCCCTTTGAAGTTAAGAGTAAACTCATCCCCAATCATGACCTGTGGCACAAAGCAGATTGTTTACAATATGTGCATGGAAAGCAAATCTTGGGCAACAGCAATTGGAAAAAATAAAAATGAAAGCTTGTATTTACACAAAATGCTACAAATACTTTTGTTCCACAGAAATCTAAGAATGGTAAAGCACATCCAAGAAAATGGAATTTTATTCAGAATACCTAAGAAATTACTGTAAGTTATGGATTTGGCTGATATATTTCAAAGTACTGCATTAAAAAGCAAACAATTATTTGTAAACATGAAGTAAACAAACATCTAAAAAAATTCTCACACAGAAAATATTTTTAAAATGCATTATCTCTTTTAAGAACAACAAATTCAAAGTTTGGAGGAATCATCTTTTATTTTGTTTATTATTGTTCTTTCAAATACCATAGGCATAATTATAATTATCACTTTTGCTAATGTTTGTGTTTCCATGTATTAACCTAGATTCTGGGTCAGTCCCTATCCTCAGAACAGACGGAACCCTTTAGGCCAGCAAACACATCTTCCTTCTGAATTCTCCCTGGATGGTTCTCATTGGTGTGGATTTCTCTGCTCATTTTTAAAGGGCCTGGTGGTGGGGGTGAGCAGGGGGAGGGTGAGACTGTCTAAAGAGCAAACAATAGTTAATCTGTTGAGTCTCTCAGTTCCAGGCTTTGGATGTCATTCCACTAATCTAACCAAAGCTGTGGTACCTGTTCTGGAACTCTGACATAGGTTAAAATTTGTGAGACGACTGAAACGGATAAAAATGTAGCTGCATTAGTCACGCTGTAAATTCCAGCAATGTTTATGCTACATACAGAACCATGCTATTTTAATCCCAAGGAACTAGAGTGTTGACTAGGACATGGTTCCACAATAGTAGTTAGACTTCTCTTTGGTCTTGAAATCACAAATTGTACAAATGACCCAGTGCAAATTAAGGGTTCAGAAAAAAGAAAGAAAGAGACCAAGGGAGGGAGGGCGGGAGGAGGGAGGAGGGAAAGACAAAGACAGACAGACAGAAAGACAAAATTTTAATCCCTAGGCCAAAAAGGGCCACATATGTTCTAAGAAATGTGAATTTTATTTCATTTCATGGGATGGCTGGAGTGAGGGTGGGGGGAAGAAGTGCTTGAATTTTTCCCAAGGGAAAAAACTTCTAAAGTGTTTCTGGGTTGCTGCCTGCAGCCACTATAATAACATTTCAACACAAAAGCATCCCTAAAGTCACTTAGTATGTGTACTGTAAACTTACAAAAGCCCTTTTAACATTAAAAAAGAATGTACAAATATAGTACCTTTTTTATTAAATAGGATGCAGCTGGCACTGGTGGTAACATTTTTATGTCAATTAATTAAAATTGAAATGTGTAACCAGACACTGGCTTTTTTAAGTGCTGCTGAAACAAACACACATATTTTACACTTACAAATAAATGGACAGTAGCATGCTTCAAGCTACCACACACAAACAATAAATAGTATCAATTCCTACTTCCATCTTACTTAAGTAATAGAAAAGTGGCTTATCTAAGCATACTTGGTATATCACCTTTAGAAGGCAAAGTGTTTGGTTCTGTTCTGTTTTCCTATCCATTTTTATTAGAAGGAGTCAGAATGGATTCCCAGGTTGCCTGCAAAGGTGGGTTGGAAAATGGTGATAGAGCAAGGGGGGTCTGGGGGCTGGAGGCAAATCTCTGCTAAGTTCTACTGAGGAGGGTCCTGACCTGTGATGGAGGAGACCTGTTCTGGTGGTGTCATTAAATGATCCTGGTTTGGAATAGGGATCTGCACTTGGGAATTTGCCATGTGACTGCCAGGAGTGGTCAAAGTGCATCCTCCAGAGAGCTTTAGCTCAAATTCACACAGAGACAGTAGTAGACACCAAACTCCAATGCCCGTGCCCTTCCTGGGCCCTTCACTGCAAGGAATACAAATGGCAGAGGATGTATGTGTGCTTTCAGATCAGCTACCTGCTGTAAATTGGTGGCTGCTTCAAATGACCTACTCCCAAAGGACAATGACATCATTCTGCTCCTTTAAAGGCACATTCTGTGGAGAGCTGCCAATGGGGCCTTGGGTGAGGCAGATTTGGGTTCCCCTGATTTACTGTTTGGTAAGGCTGGTTGGTTAAAAATTCCTGGTGCAATTCTGCTCTCTTGTACAATGCATATCATAATCGATCCTTTATTCACATGTGTGGCTTTAAGCTGACTATGTCTTTGCTAGGAAGCCTGGTGATTTAAAGTTTTACTTAACTATGAAACCACAGAACATTTTTCTGCAGTTCAGTGATTCACTTGTGCTTGTCTTTTTAATATGACAAAAGTCATAATTACCCCCCAAAATTAAAAAAACCACATCACTCCAGCATTTCATGCTGACAAAGGGCAACAACGTAAGTGATAAAAGGGCTAAGAGTTGTTTTTTAAATCCCTAATTATTGCTTTAAAAGGCAAAGCTGTGTAAGAGGCAATCAAAGATCTGAAAGAACTAAACGTAACATTTCCTTCATACGTCACAAAAACAAGCTACATCTAAAACAATTGGAGATGGAAGTACTTTTAAAAATCACATTGTGCCTGGATGAACTGAAATTGCTTAGCAATATTTCAGATATGGCTCTAGCCCACTGAAGAAATTTGTTACTTAATAAAGAGCACTTTTAGAGACCGAAGTCAACATATCAATACACTAAGAAATGTTTCAAGGGTCCAAATGTCATTAAATAATTATAAATATATCTTTAAAGTTATATGATCATTCAACGTTAGCAAGTTACCTCAGATTTTACACATATTCATAATTTAAAAAAAAAAGAAACAACACACAGCCAAACACAAACACTATCTATACCATTATGGCTATAATAAGGTATTGCCATTTTCAGTTTTGCATAAAAGGGGAAGGGAGGTTTTAGGGATGGGATTTATTTTTAGTTAAATGGGGAAGGGGGCAATAAAAAGTAAAATAAAACAATCTATCCTGATCAGTATTTTTGAAGTCACTTTCTTAAAGCAGGGGGGAAAAAAAAACTGAACCAAACAGTTCAAATGAGGACCTGCAGCAAGTCTGAAAGCAGAGTTTGGAACAGTTATTGTGAATGGATCGTACTGTCATGGAAGCATCCATTCTACCTCTTGTCCCTTTTTAGTGCACCTGGCCTGGCTTTGTAAGCTGTCTGCAGAGTGCACGAATCCATACACAGCTGCAACCGTGAGAGTGTGTGGTTTCAAAGCACAGAGGGGAAGTGCTTTGCTCTTCTCCCTCCTGAACCCGGAGTTCACCTCTCTGAATCGGCATATGAACAGGTTATTTATGGTAACAGACCAAACAACAGTAACAAAAATACCTTTTCCCTTGTTTGTTCCTTTGTAAAAGTACATCTTAAATAGTAAACAATCTGAAACCCGGTTGTGATTGTCTCTCTTGGACCTTCTGCTTTTCAATATCTACCCTCTCATGGTTGCAAGATCATGACTGAGTGAGTGAATAAAAAAATTCTCTAGAAAACAGGCACTTTGTAGATAGCTAATCGATATACATATATATGCACTCTCTCTATATATGTATATATTGATACGTGCGGGATGTGACCCCCCCCCAGATACCGCTGGGCCACTGCTGAGGAATTTCAATATGGTCGCCAAACAGATTCATCCATTCTGCCACTAGAATTCAAAACAGTTGGGGAACTGCTGTGGCTTCCATCAGCGTCAACACCATCATTCTGGTTGGGCAAATTTGGATTTAATAGCGTGCTGCCATTCGAGGTGGTGGTGCATGGCGGAAGCATTCTGGAAGGAGACCGGTCTCCCCCCGGCACCATGGGGAATTGATAGGATCCTGACGAAGTGCCATAGTAGAGATATGGAGTGCTGCTGGTCTGGAAGGGTCCACTCTGGCTTTGGGAAGAGCCGGGGTAGGGTGGTGGCAGGTAGGTATGGTAGTGAGTGGTGGCGGACATACCGAGGGACATGCCTGAGGTGACTGGCGGGGTGTAAGTAAAGGTGGCTGGATAGTGCATTCGTGGGTTGGAGAAGCGGCTCTCAGTGAGGGATGAAATGCTTGGGAACTGCCTGGGGTCTGAAAAAGGGCCCAGTTCTGAAGCACCTAAAAATTATAACAGAAGATGGGGGAAAAATCTGTAAATATCAATTAAAATAATGATAAAATCGTTACAAGAAAAAAAAAAGAAAACTTTAGCTTTCCCAAAAAGGAACAGCAAGCCACAAACAGACCTTCAAATGCACCAGTCACTTTACAGGTTTTTTTTTTTTCACTTTAAAGTCTTAACAGCATTTATCCTTAAGTTCTTCACCCCTAGAAGATCCCAACGGGCTTTAAAAACCCGAATATGTGCTAGGTGATATGTGTAAACCAACCCAACACTCTGATCACATAGGTTCACTCACCAGACTTTAAGACCAAATCCTCATTGAACTTTTTTTCTTTTTTGCTTCTTGTTGCACTTCAGATATTTGAAGTGAAATTTTTACTAAGTTGGACAGCTTATTTTTCTCAACTCAATATAAAGAAATTCCAAAATAATAAGTTGTATTATTGATACTCTCGACAGTGTCCTTCATCCGTGAAGGGACATTAAAAAGATACCCTAACTTGTTCCTATCATTTCTTTTAAAACTTTAAAAGAATTCAAAATCTTGTTATAAATTCCATCTTTGTAACAGTGAAATCAAACCAGATTTTCGATGTAATCTGAAACTATCTTACTTCTCTGGGCATATAGAGAGGGTTATAAACTAGATAAGTAGGTTTTGAAAGTGGGGGACAGGAAGGCTTAGTACCTTAGGAATCACTGCATTTCAAGTCTTAACGGGAGACTTATGACCTCATTTAGGTCAGGTGCTGATGACAGCTTTTGTGAAAGGCTGGATGCCCAGAGGAGACTTGGGGGAGGGCACCTCCCCACCCATCTGTCAGGTCCCTGCACCACCTCCTACGGAATCGGCTTCAGTTCTATTTGAAGCAGTAGCCTAAGGAAAACATGTTTTTTGCCCCTAACATGCAAAGTCCTTTCACTTTTAAAGCTAAGTATGCCCCCTTAATAGATGTTTCTGGTGCCTAATACATGAAAGCCACAGTTATAAACCATTTCATGTGGAAATTAATTTTCTGAAATGCCTCAAAACTTCGGACTAATTATGATTTTCTAGAATTCACAGAATTGTGGCATGCCTTTTTATAATACCAGTGCTCTTGTTAAGATTTTGATCCCTTCTAAAATCTTCCCATTATTTGGATCTCATATATTGGCTTTTCCTATAGCTTTTAGCCACAAGGGAAAGCATTTAGCAATTCGTGAATACCTTAGTGAACAGGCACTTCTTCAGTCCCACTTTTATTCAGAACTTGTTCTCAGATAATACAATGTTTATTAAAGGAATATTCTTAACACTTGTCTTTAAATGTGCTGGTGGAAGGTTTAAATTTTTGTTGAAATGCACACTGCTCATGATCTTCATAAAATGCTAGGGTTAAAAGTGCCATTATGTGCATTTGCAATAAAAAATGACTATTTAAAAGCAACATATAGTTAACAAAACTCACAAATCAGACAGTACCAATCAGACAGCCCAGCCCATCCCAGCCCTGCCCAGCCCAGCAATTGTTAAAAGTCTCACCTGCCTGGCTCTTCTTACTGAGAGTGGAAGGCCAGAGGCAGAAGTCAGAGGTGGCAGTGTCATCATCTGTAAAATGAGGGGGATGAGCTCTAAGTTCCCTTCCAGCTCTAGTGTTCTATGACCATGAACTCCAAGACAGAAGGAGAAGCAACAGTCTTAGGGGAGGGATAGACAGAGAGGTTCCCATTCCCCATTAGTTCCTTCCCAGAGACCACAGGCCCCATAAGCAGAGGGTAAAAAGCCAGTGAGCAGCTTCTAATGCCAGAAGCAAACACTTTCAAGATGACAAACCAAAACTGACAGAGCCCAGGCAGCCACTCTCTGCTTTCTATAAATTCTTCCATCCTCAACTTGCCTCTACCTAACCCCTCCCCAAAACGAGATTCTGACAAGCTCAAGTTTTAAAATGTGGAAGTAGTGATTATGACACTCAGAAATGGGAGCAGATGAGCTGCAACATTCCCCCGCCCAAGGCTAATGCACTGTCTCGTACAATACACTACATGGAGGCCACAGATGTTCTTCAACCAGCCTCTGTGCTGCAGAGCATCTAGTGACCTTGTGCGGGCAGAGCTAATAGCTAGAGGCAGGTCACTTCTGCATGCATTAAGTTCAATACTCAGATCACATGAGAAAAACCAGAATAACATGAGCAGTGTAAATCCACAAGAAGTCACACTTAAAACGTCAACGTTGCCCCCCACCAAAGCACAGAGTTCACGCAGACAGGCACGTTCGTGAAAAAATGCTTCTTATGTGTATTTGTACTTAACACACACTGTAGTATTAGTTAAGATTCCGTATGGTTTCACTTACTCTGATACAGAAGCCTCATTAAAACTCTTTATGTGGGGCCCTGGCAGTAAACTCCAATATGGTTTTGAATTTACCACCCCTACTTTCTTCTCAATTTTACCTGATACATTTTGCTGATGTTTTTATTACCCATCACATGCCAGGATCACTGCACCTTTTTGGTTTATAAATGCTACCTAACACAAATTGACATTCATTTTTTGATTAATGAGCTCTGGTTGTGGTTTATAGAAAACAATGCCACAAATTTCTGCTAGGTTTGGGGTATTTTGACCAATCACTGCTAGTCGTTTGAGTCTTAATGTCTTGAGGACTGACTCTTTCTTGACAAAGAGAACTGATGCAGACTTTAAAGGGATTATAGGATAATTCTAATAACTTACAAACAACAAAATTTTCTGGAATTTGTTTAGTCATTTTATGTTACCAAGAAATGTTTCTGAAACATACTGCAATATGTTCATTCTGTATGAAAAAATATGAACAGTCTGCTATAGTAAAATATGAGATTCCTTATACAAGGGGAATCAGAATTATTTTTTTGCAGGGTGGGTCCCTAGTCGTAGACTTTCTCAGACAGGTGAGTGTTCTAAGAACCCGCCATTGGCACCAGTGTACCAACTGACATTGTTGTGAAAGGCTGCATTAGGCTTCAGTGAATTTTTTTGGAGATTCTTTCAATGCATTTGCCCATTTCATGATGGGTGATTTACCAGCATACCTGCCTACACTGAGTGTTCAGGAGTGTTCAGCAGTTTTTGACCAAAAATGGCATTAACTCCATACCCCACCCTCTCTATATTCTCCTGAACTCACCCCAAGTGACTTTTGTTTATTTGTTTCACCAGATGAAAAAAGTCCTCCAAGGGTAACGTTTTGCCTATGTGGAAGAGGTGAAACAAACAAACAAACAAACAAAAATGGCAGAAGCACCAAAAGGAATTGACGAATTCAAAAAGTGTTTTGAGCAGTGGAAAAAAGCATCTCAGTGGGTTTGCTGCATCAAACAGAGAGTACTTCAAAGGTGACTGAATTTTAAACATGTAAGAATAAACACACAATTTTGTATAAATAAATTTCATTTTGGGGATCCCCCCTCATATAATAATCTATCATGAGGAGGTTGGAGGAATCCTAAGCTTACAAAGAAAGAATATAAACTACTTCCTAATCTTTAATTTATTTATTATAATTGTTATAGAAGCAAACAACATCATTAAATTTTCTTTCATTGAATACGGCTGTATCCATACTTCTAATCTCTGTTTTGTACATGAACTCAGGTTTTCTTTTAGACTCCACTTCTTGGGTTATTTGACATTGTAGCCTAAACTATTCATACCTTGTGCCACTAGCCACATTATAGCCACAAACTTAAAAAAAAAGAACTGGATATTACATCAACTACTAAAGCAAATACAACGTAAATTTGACTTATTAAAAGGGTCTACATGATGAAAGTACTACTAAAAGTACTACTATCTCAGTCTACTTTTATAAATGTAAAATCAAAGCTCAACAGCTGCCCCAGTGATGTGCCTGGTAGTCTCAGAGCTCCCCAGAGCCAGCTTAAAACTCCTGACTACAACCTACTGTATAAACAAAGCAAAGCTAACTTGGGGACCTTTTGAAAATAGCAATGACCAACCTGTACAAATCCGTTGTTTTCGCTGCTATCCTTGTACCCCCTCCATGTACAAGATACATTAAGCTTTGCTGAGCAGTGGAAGTTGCTCGGAAGTTGAGGGTGCCACAATCAACACTAGATCATCTGGTTCTGAGAGTTCCAAAATGGCATGTGCCAACATTGGGGGGGGTGCCCAGGGGACTGCCAGGAGGTACTGGAACCCTAAGATAAATAGTCAGCATCTCCCCAATAGGCTGGTTTTACTAGACTTGGGAAAGGAATACACTGTACAGTAACATGAATATGATATGGAGAAGAATGCTACACTTAGGTGAATTTTTATATAAACAAAAAACGACTCCAACAAAATGTTGCACTTGTACAGCTTTAGGCTATGCCCCCAGATCCCCTAAGGTACCCAAGTACCTCCTGCTGGGTGGGGTACTCTGATAGAAAAGTTTAAACTAATTTAGATAACTCTAATCTAACCCCTGTTTCACAAATAGAAAGATGAAATCCAGAGAAGGGAAGCTATTGACTCCATATCACAAAATCACACAGCTGGATAGACCTCTTTGACTTCTAACAAAAGGATATGCATTCGTAGCTACCCTTAAGGAATTTGGTTAACACAATCACAGATCTATCTACCTACCTACACACACACACACACACACACACACACACACACACACACACACACACACACACACACACCTCTGCTATCTTAGAAGTCTATTTGTCTAAATGGAAAATACTTTAAAATACTTAAGTACACTCTTCTGGTGCCTAAGAGTAACCCCAGTGAGAGTTACCATCTTTAGAATACTATTAACAACTCTTTAAGGCCTTGTTGTTGATCTAATCTGCTAAATAATGGGCAGTTAGTTCAGTTGCTCAGGGCAAAAAGTAAATAAGATCAAGGTCAAGGGTTTGATCCCCTTAGGACCTGCTGGCTTCTTACAGATGCACTTCTTTCCAAAGCTGCTGTCTGCGCCCCTAGCCACAGCCAGACAGCCTGCAAA